GTGGTGTGAAGTGGAGCTGGCGAGACAAAGGGAAAATGTACAGGATAATTACAGATTCATTAAGATAGATACTTTTTCTTATGCTTTCTGTTTTTCTCACAGGTCTACAATGGAGTACATAGAGTGATTGTTCAATAACTGTATCTTTACTCCTTTGTGCTATTATACACTGGCTTCATTTTCCCAGAGTGCTTGATAATAATGACTGACAGAAGGCTTTTCTGGTGTTAATATTTTGTATCTTCTACACAGTGATTCACTCAAACATGAAGTATAGTATTTCCTTAATTTCCAGGCCCAATTCCTTTAATGTCTTTTATAGAAATGGCCAGTTCCTTGAGAAAATGCAGATACAGCTATAATTTGAGTATCCTAAGTAATTACCAAAAAATAAACTCAAATTAAGCTGGCTGTCTTGCATTTTGGAAATCTAAGATACTGCTCCCAGATGCTACCAATTTAGCCTCACTGATGGTAAGCACACTACATTGTTTGAAGAATGAATATGTGCACATGCCGCATGTTAAGAGAAAATAATGTCTGAGATGCTGAATTTCTAAAATGAATAACTAGAGCAATTTTTTTCATACTACAAAAGGATTCTTACCTTAAAGAAATATTTAAATGGGATTTTCGCTATTTGGGTAGAGATGAAATACTTCATTTTTATAAGAAATGCCTCTAAAAACAAAGAAGTAAGTTAAAGGACAGAAGAAGATATACCATGCAAACACCAAACATAACAAAGCCAACTTTGTTGAAATTAAGGTAGACATCAAGACAGAGTATTTTCAGAAACATGAATATTTCATACTCATAAAGACATTATAAATATGCTAATAAAAAGTTTCAAAATATATGAGTCAAAAATTAATAGATGTAAATGGAAAAATGGACAAATGCCCACTTATTGTTGGAAATTTTAAGAATCCTTTCTCAGTATTTAATAGAGCAACTAAACAATATTTCAAATATAAGTTAAGGACATGGAAGATCTGACAAACAATAGACATTTCTAGAACACTTTGCAATAACTGCATGACAGTTTTTAAGAGTGTATGGTACATTAACCAAGGCAGACCATGTACTAAACTGTAAAGCAAATCTTAATAATTTTTAAAATTGATATATAAAAAATTGCACATATTCATGGGCTACCATATGCTGTTTTGATATGTATATACATTGTAAATACTCTCTGTCTTGATGTATACCTTAATATAAACAAAGTTGGCTCTGTTATGTTTAGTGTTTCGTGGTATATCTCCTTCTGTAGCATTCAAATCAGGGTAAATATATGCATCTCCTTAAACATTTATAGTTTTTTTATGGTGACAACTTTCAAAGTTTTTTCTTATAGCTTTTAAAAGCTATATATCACATTGTTGTTATCTATAGTCACTGTACTATGTCAATACATTTAAAAGCTTAGAATCACATAGAATATGTGCTTTAACCACATAGCAGGGAAAACATTTGATAGCATTAAACATTGATTATGAAGAACTCAACAAATTGGAATAGAAGGGAATTCTTTCTTTTTTAAAAGATTTATTTATTTGAAAGGCAGAGTATCAGAGAAGGAGAGACAGAGAGAAAGAGATCTTTTAACATCTAGTTCACTCCTCAAATAGCCACAACAATCAGAGCTTGGCCAGGTAGAAGCTAGGATCCAGGAACTCCGTCTAGGTCTTCCACATGGGTGGCAAGGGCCCAAGTTCTCAAACTATCCTCTGTTGCTTTCCCAGGCACATTAGCAGGGAGCTGGATAGGAAGTAGAGAAGCCGAGACTCAACTGGTGCTCTGATATGGGATGCTGATATTGCAAGCGCCCACTTAGCTGGCTGTGCCACTGGCCCCAGAAAAGAATTCTTTCAATCTGAGAAGAGGTATCTACAGAAAAACCTGTAAGATAACATCACACTTAATGGTGAAATATTAGGTGCTTTCTCCCAACACTGGAAATTGGAAAGATGTCCAGTGTTACTACTTCTATTCAACATTGTGCTAGAAGTTCAAGGACAAGAAAATAAATAAAAGGCATAAACATAGGAAAGGAAGAAGTAAAATTGCCTGTACTGCCTATACATGATTGTTTACAAAGAAATCCTAAGGAATCTACACAATAATTACCAAAACAATTATATTGAGTAAGGACATGGAATACAAGGGCAATGTACAAAATAATTATATGTACTCATATCAGCATCAAATTTATGTTCATTATAAAACAGGTGAGCCACTTCTGGTTAATTGTTTAACTTCTCATGGAGATGATTAAAATATTGAGTTAGAAAGAGATCAACTTTATTTTTAATAGCATTGTTTGAATACAAAATTGCATTTGTCTAAATATGTGTATAAGATAAATGTAGTATGATTGTATCAGAAAATTGAGTAGTGACTACTTTTCTAATCTGAGTAGCCCTTGGTTATTGCACTTAATCTGTGTGTAGTCCTTGGTACCTTGTTTTTCTGTGAATCACAGCCACAGAAATTCCTCCCATTCATGCTTTCACTAATGCCCCCCGTGAGTACATAGATTAATAGGAGAGTAACTCGAGCACAAACTTTAGAGGCTAGTTTATCCCACATCTGGTAACTAGTGCTCTCTGCCCCTGGGGGTTGCTGAGTCATTTCAGAGACAAACAAAACATAGCAAACATAAGCCTTTTTTCAGTCAACTGACATAAAAAGTACAGTTTTTGCCATATGGAACTTATTAGGATTGCAAAAAAAATTTTTTTAAGTATTTCTGCACAGTCTCCAGAGACTGACAGGTGTGCTCTGTGCTAGCTGGTGCACAAGCAGCACCACATCTACACGGGACCCTTTGCATGGCCAGTGGAGACTGACTAGCACCCAGCACCACAGACGCATGCACGGTACACATCAGTCCAGGCACACTGCAGTGGCCCTACCCCACTGTGTCCTGCAGAAACCAACAGAGACATTTCTGCTGCTTTTCATACATACTACAACATGCCTGCTCAGGCTCACAGAAAAAAACACACAATAATAACCACATCCTCACTGCTGTGTGCAACAAACCTGCCCAGGCCACTCCAGTGTCCTGAAGTGACTTGGAGAGATAGATGGGCTCTCTGACCTTGTTGCTGCATACACTTTGCCCAAAGCCATTGATTGCAGTTGACGAAGCTATAAGAAGACTGCAATATGGTGTAGGACTGGAACAACAGGCATGGAAAGCCAAGACACTCTGGCAAAAAAAAAAAAAAAAAAGACCTAAATGAAAGATCTCCACAAGTGAGATCCCAGTGGAAAGAACAGGTCATCAAAGAAGGAGGTACCTTTCTCTGAAGGGAGGAGAGAACTTCCACTTTGACTATGACCTTGACTAAATATGATCAGAGTCGGTGAACTCAAAAGGCTTCCATAGCCTTGGCAACTCATGACAAGAGCCTAGGGTGATTACTGATGCCATAAACAAGAGTGTCAATTTGTTAAGTCAACAACAGGAGTCACTGTGCACTTACTCCTCATGTAGGATCTCTGTCCTTAATGTGCTGTACATTGTGATTTAATGCTACAACTAGTACTCAAACATTATTTTTCGCTTTGTGTTTCTATGTGGGTGCAAACTGTTGAAATCTTTACTTAATATATACTAAACTGATCTTCTGTATATAAAGAGAATCAAAAATGAATCTTGATGTGAATGGAAGGGGAGAGGGAGCGGGAAAGGGAGGGTTGCGGGTGGGAGGGAAGTTATGGGGGGGGAGTCATTGTAATCCATAATCTGTACTTTGGAAATTTGTATTCATTAAATAAAAGTTAAAAAAAAAGAAGAACTGGAACCAAAGCCAACATAGTCTACAAAAGCAACCACCTAAGACATATCCTCAGGAAGAGTCAACTTAAAAAAAGTGGTAGAACAACTGTGCTACCAAATGTGCAAATGTAACATAGGAACATAAGAAGTACAAAAAAAAAAAAAAACCCAAGATAACATGATATGCACAATGACCCTCTAATAACAAACCCCAATAAAGAGGATATTGATGAAATTCCTGATAAAGAATTCAAAAAAAGATTATAAGGAAACAGTGAGATTCAAGAGAACACAGAAAGATAATTCAACAAATTGGGAAAACAATTCATGATATGAAAGAGAAATTCAGTGAAGAAGAAGAGATCAGGAAAAAGAATCAAATAAATCTTGGGAATTAAGAACTCAATAAGTCCAGGGCCGGCACTGTGGTGTAGTAGGCTAAGTATCCTCCTGCAGCACTGGCATCCCATATGGGCACTGGGTCTGGTCCTGGCTGCTCCTCTTCCAAAGTAGCTCCTTGCTGGTGGCTTGGGAAAGCAGTGGAGGATGGCCCAGGTGCTTGGGCTCCTGTGCCCACATTGGAGCCCCAGGAGAAGCTCCTGACTCCTGGCTTTGGATCAACCCATCTATGGCAGTTGTAGCCATTTGGGAGTGAACCAGTGGATGGAAGACCTCTCTCTCTGTAACTCTGCCTCTCAAATAAATCAATAAATCTTGAAAGAAAGAAAATCACTTCACTGGTAAATCACACACAGACTGAAAGTGAACGAATGGAAGAGATACTGTGTGCAAATAGAAACCAAAAGCAAGCAGGATTAACTGTACTTACGTTGGACAAAATAAATTTTAAGATAAAAACTGAAAGATGGCAGGCGCCACAGCTCAGTAGGCTAATCCTCTGCCTGCGGCGCCTGCACACCGGGTTCTAGTCCCATTCGGGGCGCTGGATTCTGTCCTGGTTGCCCCTCTTCCAGGCCAGCTCTCTGCTGTGGCCCAGGAAGGCAGTGGGGGATGGCCCAACTCCTTGGATCCTGCACCCACATGGGACACCAGGAGAAGCACCTGGCTCCTGGCTTCGGATCAGCGCGGTGCGCCGGCCGCAGCGCACCGGCCGCGGCGGCCATTGGAGGGTGATCCAACGGCAAAAGGAGACCTTTCTCTCTCTCTCTCTCTCTCTCACTGTCCACTCTGCCTGTCAAAAAAAAAAAAAAAAAAAAAACTGAAAGATACAAATAAGGTAACTATATAATGAACAAGCCTCTCAATTCAACAATAAGCTGTAATGATCATAAATTCATATACATCTAATGCTGGAGCAACCCAGTCTTGTAGAATATTATTAGATCTAAAAGGAGAGATAAGGCTCCAGTACAATAATAATGAATGCCTTCAAAGCTCCATTTTTGGTAATGGACAGATCACAAACAAGAACATAAACAAAGAAACCTCAGAGTTAAACTATACTGTAAACCAAGTGGGCTTAACATTTACAGAATGTTTCATCCAATAGCTGCAGAACACATATTTTTTAATCAGTTCATGTAACATTCACTAGAATAGATGACATGTTATGCTGCAAACAAGTCTCAACAAATTCAAAAAACTGAAATTCATATCATGTGTCTTTTCTGACCACAATGGAATAAAACTAGAAATGAATAACAAAAGAAACTTTACAATTTACTAACATATGAAGACCAAACAACATGCTATTGAATAAAAGTGGGTGAGCCAAGAAATCAAAAGGGAAATTTTAAAATTTCACAAAGCAAAAGAAAATAGAAAATCAACATATCAAAACATAGAGGATAAAGCAAAAGCAGTACTAATAGAGAATTTTATAGAAATAAACACCTGCATCAAAAAAAGTTAGAAAGATTTCAGATAAACAGCTTAAGAGTGAATCTCAAAGAACTATAGAAAATCAAGAACAAACCAAACTCAAAATTAGTAGACAGAAATAACTAAGATCAGAGCAGAAATAAATAAAATAGAGACTAAGAAAAAATGCAAAAATCAATGAAGAGTTAGCTTTTTGAAAAGATAAACAAAATCCGCCGGCGCCGCGGCTCACTAGGCTAATCCTCCGCCTTGCGGCGCCAGCACACTGGGTTCTAGTCCCGGTCGGGGCACCGGATTCTGTCCCGGTTGCCCCTCTTCCAGGCCAGCTCTCTGCTATGGCCAGGGAGTGCAGTGGAGGATGGCCCAAGTACTTGGGCCCTGCACCCCATGGGAGACCAGGAGAAGCACCTGGCTCCTGCCATCGGATCAGCTCGGTGCGCCGGCCGCGGCGGCCATTGGAGGGTGAACCAATGGCAAAGGAAGACCTTTCTCTCTCTCTCTCTCTCTCTCTCTCTCTCTCTCACTGTCCACTCTGCCTGTCAAAAATAAAAAAAAAAAATCCAGGAAACTTTAATTAGACTAACCAATTAAGAAAAAGTAAACCCACATAGATAAAATCAGAAATGAAAAATACCAGGGCTAGGCCAAACTGAAGCCAGGAGCCAGGCTCTCAATCCAGGTCTTCCTTGCAGGTGGCAAAAATTTCATTACAACTGATTTGACAGAAATATGAAGGGTCACTAGGGACTGTTATGAGCAAGTATATATCAAAAAATGGAAAATCTAGAAGAAATGTATACATTTCTGGACATATTTAACCCAACAAAACTGAATCATGAAACATAGAAAACCCGGCCAGCACCGTGGCTCAATAGGCTAATCCTCTGCCTTGCGGCACCAGCACACCGGGTTCTAGTCCCGGTCGGGGCACCGGATTCTGTCCCGGTTGCCCCTCTTCCAGGCCAGCTCTCTGCTGTGGCCAGGGAGTGCAGTGGAGGATGGCCCAAGTCCTTGGGCCCTGCACCCCATGGGAGACCAGGAGAAGCACCTGGCTCCAGGCTTTGGATTAGTGCGGTGCGCCTGCTGCAGCCCGCCGGCTGTAGTGGCCATTGGAGGGTGAACCAACGGTAAAGGAAAACCTTTCTCTCTGTCTCTCGCTCTCTCACTGTCCACTCTGCCTGTCAAAAAAAAAAAAAAAAAGAAAGAAAAAAGAAACATAGAAAACCCTAACAAATCAATAGCAAGCAATAAACTTGAATAAGTAATAATAATAAAGTTTCCCAACAAAAAAAGCCAGTACCAGATGGCTTCACTGCTAAATTCTACTTTTCATTTTTAATTTTATTTATTTATGTGAGATACAGAGACAGAGAGATAGAGACACATAGATAAGGGAAGGGAGAGAGAGAAAGAGGAACTCACATGAACTGATTCATTTTGCATGTGCCTACAATAGTAGGGCTGGGCTGGCCTGAGGTGAGGTGCTTGGAACTCCATCCAGATCTCCCATGTGGGTCACAGGAACTCAATTTCTTGTGTCTTCACCACTGCCTTTGAGAGTCTGCTCTAACAGGAAGTGGGATCAGGAGCCGGAGTGGAATATCAAACCCAGATACTCCAAAATGGGACATGGGCATCTTATATGGCCTCTAAACCGTGAAGCTAAATGCTCACCCTTGGAATCTACCAAAATTTCAAAGACCTCATACCTCTCCTTCTTAAACTATTCCCAAAAATTGAAAGGGGAAGATCTCTTCTTTTTTTTTTTTTTTTTTTTTTTTGACAGGCAGAGTGGACAGTGAGAGAGAGAGACAGAGAGAAAGGTCTTCCTTTTGCCGTTGGTTCACCCTCCAATGGCCGCCGCGGCCGGCGCGCTGCGGCCGGCGCACCGCGCTGATCCGATGGCAGGAGCCAGGAGCCAGGTGCTTTTCCTGGTCTCCCATGGGGTGCAGGGCCCAAGCACCTGGGCCATCCTCCACTGCACTCCCTGGCCACAGCAGAGGGCTGGCCTGGAAGAGGGGCAACCGGGACAGAATCCGGCGCCCCGACCGGGACTAGAACCCGGTGTGCCGGCGCCGCTAGGCGGAGGATTAGCCTAGTGAGCCGCGGCGCCGGCCGGGAAGATCTCTTCTTAATTCATTCTGCAAAGCCAGCATAGCACTGATAGCAAAATCAGACAAGGGCACAACAGAACAACTATAGATGAATATCTCTAACATAGATGCAAAAATTCTCAACACAATACTTGCAAATCAAATCCAACAATAGACCAGAATATCATTCATCATGATCAAATGGGATTTACCCCATGGACCTGAAGATGGTTCAACCTACAAAAAAATCAGTGTAACACATCACATCAACAAAATGATGGATAAAAATCGTGATCATCTCAGTGGATACAGAAAAAGCACTTGCTAAAATTCAGTATCCCTTCAAGATAAAATAAAAATCTGAAAAACTATGTCTAGATGGAATATACCTGAGTAAAATAAAGGCTATATATTACAAACCCAGTATCAACATACTACTGAATGTGGAAAGACTGAAAACATTTTCTCTAAGATCTGGAACAAGACAAGGATGTCCACTTTGACCTCTCACAGTCTAGTACCAGAAGTTTTAGCTATAGCAATGAGGCTAGAGAAAGAAATACAAGGCATACAAATAGAAAGTGTGAAAGTCAAATTATCCCTATGCCTGATTCTATATAGAAGAAAACCTAGACTCCACCATTATATTATTAAAACTGACAAGCAAATTCAGTAAAGTTACAGGACACTAAAGCAGCATACAAAAATGATAGCATTTCTACTAATAAAGATCTTGCAGAGAAAGAAATCATGAAAGCAATTCCATTCCCACTTCTGCCTATATATTCAAAGAAAATGAAATCAACATATCAAAGAGATATCTACACTCCCATGTTTGTTGCAACACTATTCACAGTAGACAAGATAGGCAGTGAACCAAAGTGCCCATTAGCGGATGCTTGGATAAAGAAAATGAGGTATAAGTACACAATGGTATATTATTCAGCCATAAAAAATGATATCCTGCCATTTACAGCAAAATGGATGGAACTAGAGGATATTAAGTTAAATAAGCTAGACACAGAAAGAGAGATACTGCATGCTCTTTCTGATCTGTATAAGATCTTTCAAAATGTCAATTTGCATGTAGATTAGCGATTACTAGAATCTGAGAAGGAAAGGGGAAAGAAAATAGGGGAAGTACAATGACATGTACCAAACACAGCTGATAAAATGAATAAATTCTAATGCTCCACAACACAGTGGGTGCCTAGTTCACAATAATCAATTAAAAAAAACACACACACACACAAAATAACTCAAAAGAGAAAGTAGAGACTTTGATTTAGAAAAGATCAGTAGGGGCCAATGCTGTGGTTCAGTGGGTTAAAGCTCCAGTCTGTAGCGCCAGCATCCCATATGGGTGCTGGTTCAGGCCTGGATGCTCCACTTCCAATCCAGCTCTCTGCTGTGGCCTGGGAAAGCAGTGGAGATGGCTCAAGTGCTTGGGCCTCTGCACCCACATGGGAGACCTGGAAGAAGCTCCAAGTTCCTGGCTTTGGATCAGCTCAGCTCTGGTTGTTGCAGCCATTTGGTGAGTGAGCCAGTGAATGGAAGACCTCTCTGTCTCTGCCTCTCTGTAATTCTGCCTTTCAAATAAATAAGTAAATCCTTAAAAAAAATCAATAGCCATTGAACTCATTTTGTAAATGACAAAATTGAGTCCTAAAGAGATTAAGTGATTGGCTGGAATTCACAAATCAATACGAGAGCTAGATTAAACACCTCAAACTCCCATTTCTAGTGCTTTCTCCGCCCAACTGTTCCCTGACCGATTTTTTTAAAAATATCCCATCTAGTCTCAAAGAACTGGGGTTTCTCATTTAAAAGAACTATCTGGAGTTAGATCAAAAACATTCTGAAGAGTGGACAGCATATCAAAGTGAATTGTTAATGTCCCAAATGGCCTATCTGGAAGGAGGTAGTATGTTCAGTTTTTGTGAGTACTGCTAAGTTTACTTCAAAATCTGTGTTTTCCTTTACTGTCAATGCTACAGAACTATTTCCCAAATATATATAAAAGCTTTAAAATAGTTTATTATCTGAGTCTTCTCTGTTGGTAAATGTATTTGAGTTTAAGGAAATAATTTTTCAGTTAATTTTAAATGCCTAAGAATAGTTGTGTGTTAATTAAAGTGTTCAACCAATGGTATTAAGTAGAACAAAAAAATACTAAAAGGAATAAAGTAGTAAGTTGTTCCTCAACAGTCAGGACAAGGGCTGATCAAGTCACTGTTTCTCATAGTGCCCATTTCACTTCAACAGGTTTCCTGTTTGGTGCTCGGTTAGTTGTCACTGATCAGGGAGAACATATGACATTTGTCCCTTTGGGATTGGCTTATTTCACTCAACATGGTGTTTTCCAGATTCCTCCATTTTGTTGCAAATGACCAGATTTCATTGTTTTTTTTACTACTGTATAGTATTCTAAAGATTTGTTTGTTTATTTGAAAGAGTAACACAGAGAGGAGAGGCAGAGAGAGGTCTTCCATCCGTTGGTTCACTCCCCCATTGGCTGCAATGGCTGGAGCTGCACCAATCCAAAGCCAGGAGCCAGGAGCTTCCTCCAGTTCTCCCGTGTGGGTGCAGGGGCCCCAGGACTTGGGCCATCTTCTACTGCTTTCCCAAGCCATAGCAGAGAGCTGGATTGGAAGTGGAGCAGCCGGGTCCCGAACCGGTGCCCATATGGGATGCTGGTGCTTCAGGCCAGGACTTTAGCCCGCTGCGCCACAGTGCCGGCCTCTTACTGCTGTATAGTATTCTATAGAGTACATATCCCATAATTTCTTTATCCAGTCTTCTGTTGATTGGCATTTAGGTTGATTCCATGTCTTAGCTATTGTGAATTGAGCTGCAATAAACATTGAGGTGCAGACAGCTCTTTTATTTGCCAATTTAATTTCCTTTGGGTAAATTCCAAGAAGTGGGATGGCTGGGTTGTATGGTAGGGCTATATTCAGGTTCCTGAGCAATCTCCAAACTGACTTCCATAGTGGTTTTACCAGTGTAAATAATAAGAGTGTCAACTGTAAAATCAACAATAGGAGTCACTGTAAACCTGCTCCCCTTGTAGGACCTCTGTCCTTAATGCGTTGTACTTTGCAAATTAATGGTAAAACTACTTCTCAAACTGTACTCTATACTTTGTGTGTCTGTGTGGGTACAGTCTGTTGAAATCTTTACTTAATATATACTAAGTTGATCTGTATATAAAGGTAATTGAAAATGAATCTTGATGAAGAATGGGATGGGAAAGGGAGTGGGAGATGGGATGATTGTGGGTGGGAGGGAGGTTATGGGGGGAGAAGCTGCTATAATTCAAAAGTTATACTTTCGAAATTTATATTTATTAAATAAAAGTTGGAAAAACAAAATAATTTTGAATTATGTATGAGAAAAATCTCCTTAAAAGTACCGATAGTTAATCATGAAAGCAAATCATTTGAGCTCAACAGTTGATTTTTTTCATCTGAAAATTTTTAGGAATTCTTTATTAAACACTCAAAATTTACTAAATGAATGATTAAGTAAATGAGTCAGTAGCATGTGTAATGGTTAAAATTCTCCAAGGGCCCTTTCTATATCTGTGGCTCTTTGCTTTTTAGTAACATCTAATAATAAGCCTTTTAGAAACTCATCCAAATGTGTTTTACTTGAAATATCAAATATCCTAATAAAAATATTATCTTTCAAGCAATATGTGTCTACATATATGTATATACACATTATATATGTATACATATAGGTATGGGTGGATAGGTGGATAGACAGGCAACTTAGCAAAAGAGAGAGATGAGAGAAATATTTGGAATGCATTTCCAGCTCAGATTACTTCTGCCTAAATCATTCATACATTTCCAAACATAAGGAAACAATAAAGCATTAAATGAGTAACCTACAATTATCCCATTAGAGTGATTATCCTTCCTGTTAGAGCAGAATGGTCCAGGTGAGAGCAGCTGCTGCTGGGGCCAGCAGACTCGGAAGTCTGAACTCATCTCAGTGACACCAGCAGAATCTGAAAAGACTCTTTTTTATATTAACTGTTGCCGTGTAGAGCCTGGAAGTTTACCCATTTACTAGTAGGAGAGCAAGCTAAGGAAGAGCCTGCCAACACATGGAGCAGAGCACTCAATATGGGTGTCGACAATGTTAGGAAACGACTTCTTTGGCTTTCATAAGAATGCATCTCTGTTCACTGCTGCTCAGCATTACTTCAGTTGCATTTGGAATGTATTATGAATGTTCACTGTGTGTATCTGTGTGTGTGTTTGTGCACACACACTGTGTTACTCATTTTGCCTATGGAATGAGTCTGTGACTAATGTTCATGAATGGCTTAGAGGAACACCTCTTATGTGCATAAACCAGCAGCAGCAGAACGATTTCATCCTGCATACCCTATTCAAATGGTAATGGCTCCCTACCCTGCTATGCTGAGAGAGATTCTGAAACTGGATCCAAGTGCTGTGATCATGAACAGCAGTGATTCTCTGTCCATCGCAGATGTTAAACCTCCTGAATGGGGGCCAGAAACCACCAGTGTACAAACAAGAGAGTTAAACGCTTTGAATTCCCGACCCAAGTTCTGTAAGCCTCAATCTACCAAGCCATTTATTGGATGTTTATAGGGGAAAGACAAACAAATGAAAACATTTACTATCCTCCTGGCAGAGTGGCTGTGTTTGAAGTAGCTTGAGGTGGGGTAGGGGAAATGTTGAACAGAGACCACTGGTGGCTGTGTGAGAGTCCTCATTTCATACGTCTTGTTGGTCACTTTGGTGAGCAGTCTCTTGGCCTGGCTTGTTGTTCTGGATATGATGATGGCTACCAGGACATCGATTCCTTCTTTTTTTTATAAAAAGCTCTTTTTTAAAGATTTATTTATTTTATTTGAAAGGCAGAATTATAGAGACAGGACAGGGGTACAGAGAGATGTTCCATCTGCTAGTTCACTCCCCAAATGGCTGCAACAGCCAGGACTAGGCCAGACTGAAGCCAGGAGCCAGGAGCTTCCTCAGGATCTCCCACATGGGTGGCAGGGGCCCAAGATGGACCATTGTCTGCTGCCTTTCCAGGTGCATCAGCAGGGAGCTGAATCCGAAGTGGAGCAGCCGGGACTGAAACCAGTGCCAATATGGGATGTGGGTGTGGCAGATAGCAGCTTAACCCGGCCCCACAGGGCATCAACTTCTAAAGCAAACCTTGACTTCATCACATTCTGTATTATATCAGAGAAAGTTGGACCTGGACCCTAGAATATGTGTTACTTTTTAAATAAGAAACCCATCCATTACACTTCTGGTTTGTGGTAGTACTCAGTAAAATCTCATTGAGTGAGTGAGTGAGTGAGTGATACAAGGACAGTTTGATGACATCAGCATTTCACAGATTCATTTTTGCCTGCCAGGACATGGTGTAATTCTTTTTATCCTTCCTCTGTATGCATGCCTGGCACAGGAAAAGCAGAGCCATGGAAAGTTGCTGGGAAAAGTTGTCCTGTATGTTCATGTGGTATTCACAGGGACCGTGTGTTTCCAGACCTCCAGGCCTTCTTCTGTGCCTCTCTCAGCCCTGTGTTAGACTCTGTTTTGGAACTCCAATCTAGTATGATGCAGTTTCCATGGAATTTCACTGTATTGGGATACCATTTTATAGATCTGCTTCCACATTAGATTATGAGATCCCTGTGGGCAGGGGCTATATCTTGCCCATTTGTAGCTCTTTTATGTAGTATGACTCATAGTAGATACTCAATAAATATTTGTTGAACTGAAGTGTACACCTATAAATGCATCTACAGGTAGTGCTAGAACTCTATTTGAAGGATAATTTTAAAGAGAAAATGAAATGAGTGAAAGAATAATGAACCCATCTAACAGTTTAAGTACATATTAAAAAGTTAACAAATGCTTATGAATTGAATGATTAGAGAAATGAATCTTCCCTAATGGTTCTCACACTTGGGATTTGCAAGAAAATCATGAGAACAAGGTGTCTTACACATTTGTTCTCAAATTCGGGCTAGAATTTGTTTGGGTTTCACTTAGCGCCAGTGCTTCAATTTTTTTTTTTGTTTTTTTGGTTTTTTTTGACAGGCAGGGTTAGACAGTGAGATAGAGAGAAAGGTCTTCCTTCCATTGGTTCACCCCCTATTTGGCCGCTACGGCCAGCGCTGCGCCGATCCGAAGCCAGGAGCCGGGTTCTTCCTCCTGGTCTCCCATGTGGGTGCAGGGCCCAAACACTTGAGCCATCTTCCACTGCCTTGCCGGGCCACAGCAGAGAGCTGGACTGGAAGAAGAGCAACCGAGACAGAATCCGGTGCCTCGACTGGGACTAGAACCCGGGGTGCTGGCACTCCAGGCAGAGGATTAGCCTAGTGAGTCACGGTGCTGGCCTGCCTCAAATATTATCTGAGGATATGAATTTAAAGTATTTGTCTTCATTACCCATATGAAAGAGAAAAGTTAGTCTGAGATAAGCTAAGCAGAGAGGTGTAGTAATGTTTAGTGGAGAGAAATGCCATTACTTCTCTTCCATCCCTTAATAACTTATGTCTTTTCTGAATTTTTTTGTAGGAAGTCTTTATGTTTGAATGATGCTGAGTGATAAATGTGAATCAGTGTGAAATGGAACTATATTAGGCATGCTTCTGCTTTTAAAGTGTTGGTTTCTTTTAGCCGCACAAATCAAGAAAACTTAAACCCAAGAAAAACATGTTGAGTTTCAATAAATATGGGGCTACAGATATCTCTTTCATATGCTTACTTCATTTAATTTGGGTTAATTCCCAGGAGTGGAATGTTGGGTTGTATGGTATATCTATTTTCAGCTTTCTGCAGTACCTCCAGTCTTTCATAATGGCTATACTTTACATTTCCACCAATATCCTTACCAACATTTATTGTTTGCTGTTTTCTGTTTGAGAGCCATTCTAACTGGTGTGAGGTGAAACCTCATTGTGGTTTTAATTTGCATTTCCCTGATGGCTAATGATCCTGAGCCTTTTTTCAAGTGTCTGTTGGTCATTTGAATTTCTTCTTTTTAAAATGCCTGTTCAAGTCCTTTGCCCATTTCTTAAATGGATTGTTTGTTTTGTTGTTGTGGAGTTTCTTGAGCTCTTTATAGATTCTGGGTATTAATCCTTTATCAGTTGAATAGTTTAAAAATATTTTCTCCCATTCTACTGGTTGCCACTTTACATTGTTCAGTGTTTCCTTTGCAGTGCAGAAGTTTCTCAACTTGATGTAATCCCAATTGTCAATTTTGGCTTTGATTACCTGTGCTTCCGATGGAGTCTTTTCCAAGAAGTCTTTGCCTATGCCAACATCTTGCAGTTTTCCCAATGTTTTCCTCCAGTAATTTGATGGTACCAGGTCATAGATTTAGATCCTTGATCCATTTTGGGTTGATTTTTGTATAAAGTGTAAGGTAGGGATCTTGTTTCGTACTTCTGCACACAGAGATCCAATTCTCCCAGCACCATTTGTTGAAGAGACTGTCCTTTCTCTAGAACTTGATCTTAGCTCTTTTGTCAAAGATTAATTGGTTGTAGATGTATGGATTGCTTTCTGGAGTTTCTTTTCTGTCCCTTTGGTCTACATGTGTATTTTTGTGTCAGTACCATGCTGTTTGGATTATAACTGTCCTGTAGTATGTTTTTTTTTAATTTTTATTATTTATTTGAAAGTCAGAGTTACACAGAGAGAGGAGAGGCAGAGAGAAAGAGAGAGAGAGAGATCTTCCATCCGATGGTTCACCCCAAATGGCCGCAACGGCCGGGCCTCCGCCGATCTTTATGTCCAAGTAATATTACATCATGTATCTATACCACATTTTCTTTATCCAGCCATCAGTTGATGGACATCTATGATTCCATATCTTTGCTATTTTGAATTGGGATGCTATTAACGTGGGGGTACA